TCATCCGTGTTTCCGATTGCTTGCTCAGTATTTTCTTGTTCTCTAGCATCCATACTGCCGTCGTTGCGATCTTGCACAAATTGTGAGACCCTTAAGTTCACCATTTCGTCGACATCTACTTCATCTTCATCATCGGTACTTTCTGTACATTTGTCGTCTTGTAGCTCTCTGTTACGACCATCTGTGTGAATGCCAAAATGATCACTGAAGAGATTATCAAGTTCCTGAAACAAAATTAAAATAAAATAATTTAATGAAATCAATTAATTTCTTTTTATTAAAACCCAAAAAAGTGGCGTAAAACGACTATAGAGATAGGTAACATTATGAAAATTCAACATTTAGAAAAGATAATCAGTTTTAGAATCTTACTAGATGATATCAAATGCAATATTAAGCAGTTTACAAATTTTAATTCTGTGAAACAAATTATTTTATTTTTATTTTTTCATTAGTTTATCAAACTTTTATTTTTGCCTTAAAATTATTTTCTTTACTTATCATCAAATATTTTTAATTAACAAATTTCATGCATGTACATTGTTACAGATCTTCATAAAAAGATAAAAATATTCTAATTTCAGTATTGAATTTTTTTTTTAATTTGTTATCAATTTTAATATATTTTTGATATACATTTTTCACACAAAATATTTAATTTCTTAGTAAATTCTGAAATTCCAGTTCTCATGTTTATTTCAAATAACATTGATGAACTGATAATATTATATATTTTGGCATTTACGTTTGTTTTCGTATTTCTCATGCTAAAATCATTTCCCCTTGTGAGGCCTCATTTTTTCCCTATTCGTGTAGATGGATTATCTCTCTTTGTTTACTAACGAACAGAATATAAAATGCTATAGGCGTTTGACAAACGTGAGATTTTATTTAATTGTGTATTTCATGCAATAGTGTTGAAATCTTCGATACAGAATTGCAAAAACAACCAGGTTCTGAATAGTATTTTATGGTCAATTTAGTAAGATGTTATGAAGTTATAGCTCGTCAGTCGTAGTGTTGTCAATGACTCCAAACGTAAACAGATGCAGACGGGCGGATCAACATGTTCAGAGCGATGTCTAGGCTATATCATAATTTATAAATCTATAGCAAGTGACAAATCTTGAAATTATTTAATACTTAAAGAGACATGCCAATACCTCAAACTCATCCATTACAGGAAATGATTAAATTGTTGAAGCATTATTTTCTTCTTCAGTAAGTGTTGTCAAGGAAAGAGTTGTCGTCCGTATAATTCTGAAGAAACCGGCGCGGAATATAAATATTCGGATTTAATAAAGATTGAAAAAAAATAAGTAAATATTATAAAATTAATTTCACAAAGCATATAAACATTATTCTGTTAACACAGGTGCGTTTCATGATTGATAAATGAAACATGTTTTGATGGGGAAAAAATCCGCGCTTTCACTAAGAACGCTTTCAGACAAAATCAACGTCACATCTTTGTGACGTTTTTTCTCTGTTCTACAAAGAAAGCCATAAGGACCTTTTGTCATGTGGCCAATCATATGCAAACCAGTATAACTTAGGTAGTTGTTTAGTTCATTCCTTATAATTTAATTTTCCAGTTATTAAATGTAGAAAATAAAATTATTGTTCCTTCAACATGTTCAAAATTGCTGTATTTTAAGTGAAACATCAATTGGACTAATACGTTTTTGACGTAGGCAATCCAGGTTATATGATTTATATTCATTCAATTAAATGAGGTGTTAACAACTAAAACTGAATCATTATGAAATTGAAATGAATAACATGAAGAGCACTAATGCTCACTTTGTCATGTTGAAATAATTTCAGTCGTACTTGATTAAAAAATATGTAACCTTTTTTTTCATTGCTGCTCCTACAATGCCACTTAGGTATATGTTATCATGAATAAGTATGGAGCATGCCAGTACTCTGTCACTTTCATACATCAGTTGTCCTTTTGTTATAGACTTAAAATCAATCCCACCATCTCTGTCATCTGAATGAAAGTAACGAAGTACATGTATTTTAAGTTGAATGATATTTCTGAATTCCAGGAACTCTATTGTATCACTGTATAGTTTACTTTCATTTAATTGAGAGAAAAAATCCATATCATTTAATTTTTTCTTATTTTTAAAAAATGAAATTGTATTTACAAAGATTATGTCATGTTTTACTCTTTTATTTTAACATACTATATAAAGAATTTCCCATTGATTTGTGGTAAGATGTGTGATTTTTTATCAAAATTTGATGTGCAATTTTTTTTTATCCCTTTTTCAAGGCTTAAGAAAAGAAAATGTTAACTAGTTGAATAAAATTAATATCCAACCATAAACCATGAGAGATTCTATATTTATGCAAGCTAATCCATTATACCAGCCATTCTGTAAATGAAGTAGGCCTCTATCTGCTCCTTGGATATTTTAGGAAGGATAAGATGGTGGTCCTTTTGAAGCTGCTTAAATCCTGATGTGGGCCAGTCCACCACAGAAGGCTCAGGTAGTTTGATGGACGCTGGCGTGAAGTTGTCATTTCTGATGTAGGCTCTTAATCTAATATAGTAATGATTATACATGTATATCTATATAAAGAGAAAAGGGGGAAACAACAGCACTCAAAATCGTTGTTGAGATGCATCTGCCGTACCTGTTCCATTTTATCACGAAAGCCTCTCTGTTTACTAATCATGCTTTGATATATGTATTTGTTGTTTAATATACAGCAACAAAAATAAATTATTACATGATAAATGAAACTACCTGTCAATAAGCTGAGTCTTTCGCCCAGCTGTCCGAGCTCCGCGATCGACCAACTCCTTTTTTAAGCGCGATACCGGACTATCTCCCAGATCCACAGCGTCGGAATCCATGTTGTTTTTATTAGTTACAAGCGCTTTCGGGATTCAAGCGTCCCGCGTACCACTTAAAAAACAGCAGCGCCGCCTAACGTTTAATGACGTGAATGAAAGCTATTACATATTTTATTATAGTCTACTTGTGTGCCAAGTTATATTATAATCCGACCAAAACTGTAAGAGGAGAAGCATATTGAAAGCATTTCACAGAAATTTCTATTTTCAGTAACCACGGGAACAACGTTCATCGAAATTAAAAACTGATGCAAAGAATTGTGTATCTTAGTATAGTCTACTCCTGTGCCAAGTTATATTGAAATCAGACCAAAAACATTTCACATAAATTTCTATTTTTAGTGACCACGGCAACACCGTTCGTCGCACAGAATTTGGTATCTTAGTGTAGTCTACTTGTGTGCCAAGTTATATTGAAATCAGACCTAAACTGTTGGTGTATTGTTTTGAAAGTACTTCAGTATTTCACAAAATTTCTATTTTAAATAACCATTGCTACACCGTTTTTTGAAATTAAAAACCGATGCATAAAATTATGTTTATTTTATAGCCTCTTGTGTGCCAAGTTATACTAAAATCAGACCAAAACTGTAGGAATAGCATTTTGAAAGTATTTCACAGAATTTCCTATATTTAGTAACCACGGCAACACCGTTCGTCAAATCAGAAACCGATGCACAGAATTATGTATCTTAGTATAGTCAACTTTTGAGGCAACTTATATTGAAATCAGACCAAAACTGTGGGAGGTGTAGTACTTTGATAGCATTACCCAGAAATTTCTATTTTTAGTAACCACGGCAACACCGTTTGTCGAAATCAAAACCGATGCACAGAATTATGTATCTTAGTGTAGTCTGCTTGTGTGCCAAGTTATATTGAAATAAGACCTAAACTGTAGGAGGTGCATATTGAAAGCATTTCACAAACTTTCTAATTTTAGTATTCACTGCTACACCCATCATCGAAATTAAAAACAGATGCAAAAAATTATGTATTTAATTATAGTCTACGTATTAAGCAACTTTTATTGAATTCAGACCAAAACTGTAGGAGGAGTGGTACTTTGATAGCATTTCCAAGAAATTTCTATTTTTAGTAACCACGGCAACACCGTTTGTCGAAATCGAAAACTGATGCGCAGAATTATGTATCTTAGTGTAGTCTACTTGTGTGCCAAGTTATATTAAAACCAGACCAAAACTGTAGGAGGAGTAGCAGCATATTGAAAGCATTTCACAGAAATTTCCATTTTTAGGAACCACGGCAACAACATTCATCGAGATCAAAAAGTGATGCACAGAATTATGTATCCTATTATAGTCTACCTGTGTGCCAAGTTATATTGAAATCAGACCAAAACTGTAGGAGGAGTAGCATTTAGAAAAATGTTTACAGACAGACAGACGGGCGCATTATTATCGCATAAGCTCTTCTGGTCTCTGACCAGTAGATCGAGCTAAAAAGTTCTCTCGAAAAGATTTGACTTTAAATTTTAGACGAGAAAAAGAATAAAAAGAATGTTAAAACACAAATTGACACTGTGACTGACACAGTTGAAAATCTCCAAAGACAAATTTATGAGAAAGAAGATACTTTAGAAAAGCTCCATAAAGAATTGGATGATGTAACAGCTGAGAAAAATTGGCTTGCTGATAAAACACAAGATACATGTATGTACCAAGAGATTGTAAATCATTTTGATGAGAATGAGTTTACAGTTTAATTACGACAAAGTTTATATGAATTACTTCAGCTACATGTAAGCAGTCAGAATTGTGCAAAAGTAATCAGGGCTGTTCTCACACTTGTTAACAAAAAGGTTGATAGGCTGCCATCACCAGCCACAGTACAATCAATGAATGTAGAGAGGCTTGTACTTGTTCTGAGACAACTTGGGAAATATTGCCAAACATGGAAAATTTAACAATTTACACAGATGTGACTTCCAAATTTGGTACGAAATATTTCAGTTTTCATTTAACAGATTAAGGGCGAATTTGTTGCACATAAACTGGTTCAGGTTTTGGTTTAAGGTTTAAAACTAGTTTTTAAACTGGTTTATAGTTTTAATCTGGTTTACAACCGTGAAACAAATGAACAGTTTGTGAACAGTTTGTGAACAAAGATGGCGCACTCTAAACTTGCATGTGCATCACTGATCATTAACAGCGCATTTTTAGAAAGTGATGATAAGGAGAAAGATAATGAAATTGGTGTGTTGTCTCTACTCCAAATGCAAACTTCAATGTGTTCTGCTCTAATGACCCTGGTCCCTCAACGTCGGTTGAGAATACCTCGTATGAATAATTACGTTGAGGAGATCATTCCCAAGTATGCCGAAGAAGATTTCAGACGAAGATTTAGAATGAGTAGAGCAACGTTTACATCTCTTTTGTCAATATTCCTCGAATTTAAAGACAAAACAATTATATCCATGGAAAAGCAGCTATTAATTTTCATACGCTATTTGACGACACAAATGACAATACAAGCTATTGGTGATCAGTTTGGAGTGTGCGAATACACAGTCTTTGATATTGTAAAGCGCCTTGCAAATATTGTTTGTCGACAACTACTGCAGCAGTACATAAAATGGCCAGTTGGTGAAAAGGTTTCCGACGTTGTGAAAGGATTTAAAGATTTAAAAAATTTCCCGGGTGTAATTGGTGCCATTGACGGCAGTCACATACCTATAAAAACTCCAACCCATTGTCCAGAAAACTACGTTAATCGAAAGTTATTTCCTTCTGTTATTCTTCAGACAGTGTGCGATTCAAAAATGCATTTGTTAGATGTTAACTGTGGTTGGCCAGGATCGGTACATGACTCCCGAGTTTTTAAAAACTCAGAGTTGCACCAGAGAATTCAGAACAACCCAGAGGAGATGCTTCCTTACAATTCACACCTTTTGGGGGACTCGGCTTATGGTCTTGAAATGTGGATGATGACTCCCTATAGGGACCGTGGAAACCTCACACAACGTCAACATCAGTACAACTACATCCACAGCAGTACTAGGATGGTCATTGAACGTACTTTTGGAGCTTTAAAAGGACGATTCCGTCGCTTAAAATATGTAGATATTCAGGACATTGAAAAAATTGTAAAAGTAGTCATTAGTTGCTGTGTATTGCACGAATTTTGTTTACAGCATGATGATGACTGTATAGAGTTTATTGAGGAAGGAGGAGAGTACGAAATTAACAGCTTTGTTGAAATTTTATGTGGAAGCACTGCTGCAAATGAAAAAAGGGACATTATTTCAAGACTTCTGTGAGTTGTTCTATGCTCAATTATAGGAGGGTGATAAGAACAATACACATGCATGTGAAGATGATACCCTTTTCTGAATACAAAAATCTCATATTGTTGTCTATTTGTTCTTTATGACGGCGTATTAGTGAAATTTTAACAATGTAGAAATTTTTTTTAAAATTGTTTGTACGATTTAATAAATTGTTTGTACAATTTAGTAAATCGTTTGTACGATTTATTAAATTGTACAAACGATTTTAAAAATTTTTTTACATTGTTAAAATGGCACTAATACGCCGTCGTAGTTCCTTGTTTATCTTACAAAAAAATTGAAAAAATGCAGTACATATATTTATATTTCCATCAAATGATCAAATTCCGAAATGCTGAGCCTGTGGAAAATAAAACGTACATGTACTTCTTTTAATATTTATTGCAATAAAAAAATAAAACAAGAGGCCCATGGGCCACATCGCTCACCTGAGAAGCTTTGACCATTCTGTACTTTACCAGATTTCACCCTTGTTATACATAATGCATCCCCACCCTACCCCACTGATCATAATTAAGACATTTTGAAATCAACACTACCCCATGATCCTTCCATGGGCACATATGTTTCAGCTTTTTTGGTTCAGTGGTTCCTGAGAAGAAGATTTTCAAAGATTTTTCCTCTATATTTCTATGTAAAACTTTGATTCCCCATTGTGGCCCCGCCCTTCCCCCGGGGGTCATGATTTTAACAATTTAGAATCTACACTATACCAGGATACTTCCACATAAATTTCAGCTTTCTTTTCTGGCTTAGTGGTTCTTGAGAAGAAGATTTTCAAAGATTTTTCCTACATATTTCTATATAAAAATTTGTTTCCCCATTGTGGCCTCGCCCTTCCCCCGGGGGTCATGATTTTTACAATTTAGAATCTACACTACCCCAAAATGCCCCCACATAAGTTTCAGCTTTACTGGCCCAGTGGTTCTTAAGAAGAAGATTTTTTTTATGACCTCACCCTATTTTTGTCTTTTCTTGATTATCTCCCCTTGCGAGGGGATATGTCCCTTCATTTTAACAATTTAAATTCCCCATAACCCAAGGATGCTTTGTACCAAGTTTGGTCAAAATCAGCCCTGTGGTTCTTGAGAAGAAGTCAAAAATGTGAAAAGTTTACAGACGGACAGACAGATGGACGGACGGACGACGGACAAAATGTGATCAGAAAAGCTTACTTGAGCCTTCGGCTCAGGTGAGCTAAAAAATGAAAGACAGAGGATACTTTCCTCAAAATAATGAGGTATTCAAAATTAAAACATAATGAAACATTCTTATGTAAGCTTTAAAAGCTATTTTCAAGCATTTTCAGAGCTAACTCTCCAGAAATTACCACCTGTAATCCCTTTGGTACACTAATAAATCATAATTTCCCATCATACGATAATTATTGTTTTTTCATTACTTCCACTAACTGACTCATGATTTCAATTTTTTTTGCTTCATTTTCCATTCTCTTTTCATGTTGGTCTTTTAGTGTCTTTATCATTTCTTTGTTTTCATTTCTCATATCATCTAAGATGGCTAATATTTCACTTGGCTGGTTTTTCCTTTTTCTTTTAGGGGTCACTGCATCACAGTCACTTGAAGTTGACTCTTCTGCTTTAAATTGCTCTGCATCTGTGCTTTCTGTATCATTCTCCTTGTGAGTTTCTAGGGTAAACAGTGGTTTTACGTTGGGTTTATATCCATAACATTCCTGCAATTCTTTGTAAAAAGGACATTCCTTTCTGTCATTACCAGACTTTGAATTGTGATCAATGCAGTCTCTGTAGGCTTTTGTGAGATTTTTCCATTTCTGCTCGCATTGGTTCACAGTGAAAGAAAAGCCCTTGTTGCAAATTTCAGAGCAAATAATTTTCCACACATCCTTCTTTTTCATTGAAGGTTTTGTGAATTTAGCAGAATGCAAAGTGTGTAGTTCTATAAGATGACTGGTTGCAATTTTGGACCATGCTGAACTGCTGCTGGTACCTGGTGCACATGCTGAACTGCTGCTGGTACCTGGTGCACATGCTGAACTGCTGCTGGTACCTGGTGCACATGCTGAACTGCTGCTGGTACCTGGTGCACATGCTGAACTGCTGCTGGTACCTGGTGCACTTGCTTTACTTCCACCTGCAAAGAAATTATATTGATATGACTAGCTGTTTTATGTGCACATTCATTTCAAAGCATAAGTAAACTTCAAATATTTTCTGGGGATTAACACGTAATTGAATGGTAGAAAATTTTTGAGGTAAATTAAGAAATTAGCTTTTGTTTTGAGAATTACATGACTTGTTATGTCCAGTGGTGCATGGAAATTTCATAAGCTTCCAAACAAAATTAATGGTAATTTCTGTGTAAACCACTTGAGATATAAAGTTATATATTTTACAAAAACAAATGTTTAAATACAATGTATATTTAATACTTAGAATTATAAAAGAGACCCAGTTAAAAGTATCACTACTCCCTATTAGTTTCAGTTGAGTATAAATAAGATAAAAGATGTCTTATAATATTTTACACATAAATACTATATACAAGTTTGATTTTGGCTTGGAGTCTGAACTTCTACCCTTTGTATCATGAAATTTACTTGGTTAAATTTAAATTTTTTTAATATGTTGTCACCTATATAGCTCCTTCATTGTCGATTAAATCGATTTATATGAAACTTTGGGAAGTTGTCAGACTAAAAACATAAATTATTACCATATGTCTCAGTTCTTTCATATTTGGAAGACCTTTGACAAATCACCTCCTCGATTTGGTGGCACCAGTCTACAAGAAGGTTCACAACCCATGGTTCAGTACTTTCTACCAATTCTGTTCCAAGCTCTGACAAATTGTCTCCAACTTTTGAATACAGCGGTTTGGACTTGTCGAAGACAATAACTGTCTTATCTGCATTGCTTTTGGATTCCTGTCTGAATTTGTTTGCTTCACTTTCATTACTAAAAACATATGTGTGTAGCAAGTCTGAGGAAATTAATCTGTGAAACTTCTTTGGCACCGTATCTTTGAGCTGAACATGCTGAATGTCATTGTTGTTGTTCTTAGAGCCTGCAAAAATTATATAAGATATATATATCAGATAACCATATCATGATTTTTTAAAAATCTAAATAATTGAAACAATTGGTAATTACTAAACTGGGTAAAGGACACATTTTCAAATTTTCTGCATGCATCAGTTCA